GTTAACGTCGTATCTAACTAAAGAATTTTAAATTCTTTTACAATTGATTAAGCCATGAGGAATGGGGTAAATTTGAAATTATGAGAGTAAACGCAGTATCAGAACTCTAATTACCGCGCGATTAATTTGTTCCAAGGGACGTCAGGTTAGGTACATTCAACCCTAAATCCACCCTTGATAGGTGACATCCACCCTAAATATTAGGTGGTTGAAGATGTGTAAAATTACCTGGTAGCGGAAGGGGTCATGTATACAATAAGTTTTATGTTCTCATGACGTGATTGTTTGTTCATAATCATCTGCCACTTACTCAACGCGCTAAGATAATTCTACACACAGAGGCGCTATCCAGGCACGCGATCTACAACTTCTATAAAGGCATAATCGGTTGGGATCAAGAATTGACAACTTAACACACAAATGAACTCAAATCTGACTACACAAGATTGTCTGTAGCATACGTACAATTTGGATTTATCAGTGCTATTTTGAGATAAACTTTGTATAGTTCCTGGAATAGCATGTGATCGTGCGACGCTGCTGCTGTTGTCGATGCTCGTGTGTGTGCTGTGCCTGATGTCGTGTGTGTTGTGTGTGTGTGTGTGTGGTGTGTGTGTGTGTGTGTGTTGTGTGTGTGTGTGTGTGTGTCGCTGTGAACCGCCTTAGGCAATTGACAGACAGACAAATGCTCGGGGATCTATATGTAATCTTTAGGAGAGACGCACTGCAAACTGAGCACAGGAATGTCAGGATATTTCATAGCGACTTCGTCTAATAGAGTAAAAATCTGTTCGCATGTTTTCATATATGTCTCGTTGAGAATGTCGCTGCGTTTGAGGTTGTGTGTCGAGTCTGGTGAGATGTGATCGCTCTCGTCGTAAAGTGGATGTGGTGTGGAGTGTGTTTGTGTGTCCCGATTAGATTGTTGTATAGCTGGATGAGAAGATGTAGATTGGTTGTGTATATGATAAATTCAGTAAAGAATATTATAGTAATAATAAATCAGTCATTTAAATCACTACTCACCTAGCGAAATAGAGTAGAGGGAAGGAGATGTGTAGGGATATATCATAAGGGGAGCGGGGATAGGGGAGAGTAGTAGATAAGGAGTGGAGAGAGAGAGGAATAGGAGGTGAGATGATGTAGACATGATATGATACAGGAGTGATGAGTATGGAGTAGCAGGCAAACGTATGTTGGAAGAAGGGAGAGGTAAGGGAGGGAGTCACGTGACTCAGTGGAGATGTAGGAGAGAGAGAGAGAGAGAGAGCTGAGAGAGAGAGAGAGAGAGAGAGGAGTGGAGACAAGATAAGACGAGACGTAAGACGAGACGCTGGGTAAGACGTAGGAGACGTGATTTGTGGGTATGTTGGCATGGCTGTATGTGCTTTGGTTTATCGTCTTATGGAGATGAGAAGCACGAGAGGATTACTATAGGGTTGAGAACAGAGAGTGTTGAGCAGAGAGAGTGCGCGAGTCCTAGTGTAGAAGAGAGAGAGAGAGAGAGAGAGAGAGAGAGAGAGAGACGAAGTAAGGGAAATGGGTAGTAGACGCACGTGCTCACTAAACGAGGGGCGTTCGCTGCTATTAGAGCGCAACACTACCGACGACGGGGAAGAGCAGAGGCGAAAGGGAGAGGGAGAGGGAGAGAGAGAGAGTAAGCAGAGGACAATCATTTCAAGATTCGTCAGAGAGAGCCAGAAGAGTACAGAATGAGAAGAGAAAGCTCAGAGCCGATCGGGAAAAAACCATAGATAGTTCAGAGAGAATCCGTTGGATATACAGCATAGATCAGACACGACAGCTCAGCCATAAGGCAAAGGCACACGGCTATTTGAAGTAGAGAAGAAGCAAGTGCCCGTAAGTGCCAGGTTTTTACAATATGTGTGTATTGCTATGTCTTTTCTTTTGTATTATGTCGTATATTTTTTTCGTTGAATTGTTATTTTTTTTTCTTTCTTTATTTTTTATTTATTTATTTATTTATTGTTATTTTTTTTTTTACAATATTTTATGCAACAAGGTTATTTTTTGTGCTTTGTCCGGCTTTAATTTTTTTTTGTAGACACTGAAGACGAAAGACACGTCTAAGTCTTTGAAACGTTAGTGAAATAAATGTTCATCACAGACATGCGGTCTCATTTTCATATAAGATGTGCGCTTGACATGGGCAAGATCGAGTAGCTGAATTCTTTACGGAAACTTATAAAGGGATTGTAAATATAATATATATATAAAGTATATATTAATATTATTATATGTATATATAAGTAATGGTATAAGTGTATATATATTTATATGAATACATATTATATATGAATCACTCTATATAATAGAATATATATATGAATGTGTGTAATTGTTATATATGCATATAGTACGAATAGACTTATAATGAGTATATGTAAGAAGAGTGGTTAACATATATATATTAATGTTTTTTCAAAACTCAAGAGAACATTACTTTCCAATAGAAAACTCCTACAAATCATTAAGTAATTTTTGAGAGATGAAAAAAAATGGGGAATGAGCTAATGAACAGTAAACTTGGATTTAAAGAGCAAGAGCTTAAATGAAGCTCACTCATGAAATATTCTTTCTCTAACAAATGATGTACAGTTTGTCCGAGTCAAGCTTTAATAGTTTCGACAAGCAAATTAAAGGAAATATGAAACAATCAATACATCTCCTGACAGTTTATATAGTTAGACAAAGAGATATTCACCGACTAAAAATACTAGCTATTCATAATCTAAGATAATATGTCCCTAATATAATATATTATGTTCAATCCATATAAAGGGAAAAAAAGAAATACAGTTTAGGAATTATCACCGACTTCCTAGCGGTATATTGTAGGTTATACATAATTTAACCTTGAAGTCGCACTCTCTATATCATATAACTGTTACCAATGTAATAATATTCATAATCAATGCGAAGTATGTTCTCGATGACGCATTCACAATCTAATAGTTACGCTGGTCACTATAATAAATAAAATCAGATATATATAATAATACTATGACACTACTATCTTTCACGTATGCTATATCTTCGTTATGTAGGTTTGGTGTGGTGTGGGTGTGGTGTGGTGTGTGTATGTATCACCGTTATATAAACGTCTCATTTACAATACGGCCCACACAAACTCACATCGCACACACACCACACGCACGAATACTATATATATATTACTACGTCATACGAAGTAGGTTCATACACACAACTTATAATCCACTACATACATACATACTACATACATATATTATACTAAGTATATATAATTCCCATAAATTTTTATATCATTAGGTAGGTTGAGCACGTGATGGTGACTGTCATCAGAGGTTATAAAGGTTCCCCTAACTGAGTCATATCTCCTTCACTTGGGTGTGTGGTGTGGTGGTGTGTGGTGTGTGTGTGGTGTGTGTGTTTGTGTGGTGGTGTTTGCTGGTTGTTGTTGTTAGTTTGATGTTTGTTTTCCGCTTTGTTTCGTTGTGTGTGTGTTGTGTGTAAGTATAAGAGTGTGTGTGTTGTGTTGTGTGTTGTTGTCGTGTTGTGTTGGTGTCAGATAATCTCCCGTATTACGTATATTATCTAAGAGATTTTTTATTTTCAATGGTAATGATTGTATTGTTGTGTGGGTTGTCTGTGTGGTTGTAAGTGGTTGAGTGATTGTGGTGTGGTGTGCGTTTCGATGGCGGGGTGTGTGTGTGGTGTGTGTGTATAAACTTAGTAGACTTCAAAGATGTACAGCATCGTATCATGTAATTTTAATTTCTCATCATTTAATAAACGGTGTATTCATTTTTCCAAGAATTGTGTCTGTCTATGTGCTTATTTGGTCAATATATACTTACCATTTTCTCTGGCAGTAGCGGTCTTAATCATTCGGTAAGAAAGTAGTACCACAGATATTTTGTGCCACAGCAACTCTGCCAAAAGAGTCAAAGGCTAACAAAAAGAAACAACAATGCTCCGAGACGTTCCAGCACAAGGAAATGCCGAACATGTGACACCGCGGGTTTTCCCGAGTCTCCCCTGAGGCGTCGCGGTGATGACGTCATCCGCCAGACGCGCACGAACACGTCTGGCCACAGGCAGAGACAGGCAAGTGCCATTTTCACAATTTCCTGGTGTTTATTAGCTCAGAGTTTAAATATAAAATATTACCTGTGGTATTGTGAAAAAAGTATTTGTTCTACAAACGCGTGTCCTTTGAAAATTGAATCTTTTATAAGCCGCACGCCGCACTATTCTAGTAAAATGATTTCACCATTTCTTAGAATATCATATGTTAAATAGGAGTAACTTTTCCTCTGCATAAGAACTGCTCTATAGAACACATAACAACGATACAAGTGAGCCTTTCAAAACTCATAATATCAATATAGTACAATAAATATAAAGTACATTTGTGATACAAAAAAAAAATAATATCAATAATGAATCAAGATATCTATAGACACAATTATGTTTATAATAATGATTATGCCTTGTTTTTTTCACACTTATCAACAGTGACATTTCTACATAATCCACAACCTTAGTACATGAAATCACGAACCATAACAAAAAACATTCTACAAAATACGTACCGTGAAACGTCCTTTCAGAGCTCCTTTCTTCCATTTAATGTCACGGTTCACACGTTTCTGTATCGTACAGCGGAACAGGAAAGATGCTTCAACGTTTGCTGATACGTTTCGTGAAAGCGTTCTCAATTATTCTTGTGGAGGGTCTTAATTACGAGAACGACGTTATCTTTGTATACCACACACATGCACCCACAGAGGCGTATTTGAACTCGAACATGCACACCTAGGCACACAAAAATTCCTCCAGGTGAAATGGAAGAGCTGGTCAATCATATAAGACGAAATCAGGCCAACTTCTTCGACAGGGGGGCCCATCTCAGCACTAAGCTTAAGGGCGAGGTGGTTTAATCCGTCAGTTATTTAAACAGATTGTTGTCTCAAAGGTAATAATAAATCGCTTTGATAGGAAATATATATATTCAGCTTGCTCATTATACAAAGAAAATGTCACTAAGCAATATCACCATGTATTCAAATGTTTTAAAGGCACTTAAATAAGCGTAAAAATAAGCTCCATATAAGAAACACTGGAATTCTTTATTATTTCTTCCAGTTATTGGAAGCGAAGTCAAAAACAATGATTATTAGTAACACATATTACTATACAAAATAACACACAAAAACACTGAATAACAATAGCACCTGAAAGACCTAAATTCAGCAGGAAATGCAGCCAATGCGTGCAACCATGGCAGCATAAGTACAAACTTTTTTTATATTAGTTTTTTTTCGTCTGGAGACTCAGGAATGTGTAACATCTGGAGCGTCAAGGGGCCTCCCTAAAAATGGATTTATTGTCTTTTTTTATAACTTTCAAGCCGGAAACGCGTTCACTGTTAACACCGTGGCAAGATATATCTGATAACCCTGATTTAACTATCATAGCTATCTCACTTTTTTCAACTTTCAAATCTCAACTGCCTTCAGATAAATTCACTTTTCCGTCCCTCTTCCTTCCTTGAATTCATCGTGGGTGCGCACCACCTTTCTCACCGGCAATTTTTTGTTCTAGCTTTCCGTTTCTCTCGTAGCGTAAAATCCTATTGCGAGAGAACCGCAGATTCCACTGAAAGGCTCGACTGCACTCTCGGGCAGATCCACCCTTTCGACGAGTCCTTTCAGAGAGACACTTTTAATCACTGAAGTTTCCTGGACGACCTCAGCCTGTAACCGCCGGGGCTGGCGACACGGGGTTCTTCCTGAGCTTGAAGTCTCCCTTCCTGATGTCTGCCAGCAGGCGGTCGATCACACATCCGCCCGAGTCGGAGGGCGGCGGTAGAGGCGCGCCCTTCTTCCTGAGGGTGACGCCCGCCGCCTCCGCCTTGGCCCGCTCCTCCTCCACGCGCTTCCGCTCGGCCTCCATGCGCCGCCTCCGCTCCTCTCGCTTCTTCCTCGCCTCGTTGTCCTGCAAAGGGCAAAAAAGACACTTTCAAAGTCAGCTCAACAGACCGCTGCCAGTCGACTCAAGTAAACATTAGAAAACAGAACCGTCTACTGACCTTTCTTGCATCTGCTATTTTCAGGCAAAGGGTGTTGAAGATGCCAATGCAGTCGGCGATTTTGAACTTGGACTCGTCTTCACAGAAGTACTGCGCCAACTTCACTCGCGAGCGCTCCACTTCCTTCAGACTCTGCTCTAAGTCCTTCAGCAATCCATCAGAAGTGGTTACAAAGTCTGTAAAAAAAAATTATCAGAATGAAAAAAAGAGTACGCATATCTACGTCCTGTTTCAGCTTATAATCTTCGCATTATCAGAATACCACAGCTAACAACAACAACAACAATAAAATCAGAAACGAACACTATTGTTTGGAAAGCTCACCTTTGAAGCGCTCCTTGACATCGTCCGGCGCGTCCTCGAGGCTTTTGCAGAGGTGCGTGTGGTCTCCTCGCAGCGTCGTTACCTCCCCCGTCAGGCCATCCACGGACAATCTTGGGGAAATCAGGAATCATTCATATTGGGATATCTTACCTGTATCTCCGGAAACTTCAATCGATACGACTTTGTCATTAGGGTTTTAAGCGACGAAACTTCGTGCAGGCATAATGAGACTTCCTAATAAATTGAAATCGAATCAGAACTAAATGTGCCATTGGATCTTTCTCATCAATTGCATCATACTTTTTGTTATACAATCTCACTAATGCGCATTTTTTTTTACTCTTCTTTTACCAACAACAGGTCTTCCAGTTTGTGAAATCACGGATTATTAGTGTAAATTTTACGGTTGTCGGTTTTATCTGACCTTTTGTCTGATGGGGGAGGGAGAGGGGAGGGAAGGGGAGGGCAGAGGAGGTGAGGGAGGGGGAAGGGGAGGGCAGAGGAGGTGAGGGGAGGGAGAGGGGAGGGAAGGGGAGGGCAGAGGAGAAAAAGGGAGATACATAAACAATTCTTCAGTCTCACCTGGCAACCTTACTGAGGTCGCCCAACGTCTCGGTGAAGTCCAGGATGTCCAGCTCTTCATCCTGGGCGGACTGGACCAGGTAGTGCATCAGCGTCATACCGGGTCGGTTGCCTCGCGTCTCCCACAGCTTGGACACGGTGTTGAGGCGGAACCCGAGAGCGTTGCCCGCGTAGCTGCCCTGAGGGGAGTCCGAAGTGGCCTTTTAGTGCGACTGTCCGCAGGTACACAGGTAAGAATCGGGGCGAATTATTTGATCTGAGACGTGTGCGCTTATCTGAATTTAAGCGTCTGAGCGTGTGCTAAAATCAGATTATAATTAAGACTTTCAGAACATTTAGAGTTCTAAGTTTGGCAATAAGCATTAGGCACTAGGCAGTCGTGCGCTGCAATACATTATGGATATCATTACGTGGCTTAAGAGGGATGCAAGCGCGCACCTGTTATGGTGATATATAAATAAAATCATTGAATTTAACAAAGCGCAAAGTTCTTCGTC